CGGCAGTCCAACGCATCACTCACAGAGTTCACCCAGAGCTCCTCGGCAGAGAGCTTCGTGACGAAATGGCGGCAGGAGAATCAGCACTCGCCAAGTCGGTACAGAAGCTGCGCCTACTTTCTCGCCAGGACAAGACAGGATCCAAACCAAAGAGGTTAGGGACGCCTTAAGTTAATGGTAAACCTACCCTAGCAGCTAAAACCCTTAAAGGCAGCAAGAGCCGAAATCCTCGACTTCGAGCTGAGGTGCGGGTAGTGAAGCACAGACTCAGCAAATCACAAATGTGAAACGAACACAGACAATTATGGCTTACCTGCAGAGAAAACGGAACATTCGTCGCGAACACGCCTGGCCGTGTTCCCGTGCGGACGAGTTTTCCCCGGCCCCAAAAGCCATTGCGGCGCCTGATTTGGCGCATGTGCTGAGTGCTCCTGTGAATTCAACGCATTTCGTAGTCCCTTTGCGCCGAAACCAGGCGGCTTTTGGGGCCGGGGAAAACTCGTCCGCACGCGAACACAGCCAGGCGTTTCTATGTCCTCTGATTTTTGAACCTGGCCATTATGAATATTCTGCTATATGTGCTTCCGCTCGATCCAGGTTGATAGGTGGTACTTGTTTATTCGTGGCCTAACGTTTCGTCAAAACGACTTCGTCAGAGGCCTGCAAGTGGAATAAAGTTCGAATCTGTGTTCTTAGCCACCAAACGTCTCTTCCCTCCTGGCCAGTACGACATCGTTCCGGCTGCACTAATGACAACTCCCCATAGGCAATCGAGAACAAACCTTCAAGTCCACCGTTTTCTGCGGTTGCCCGCACGCACCGATCACGACACTCGCTGCGGTGAAGAGTGTGTCATCCCGTTCCCTAGATGGTATATGGGCCCGGGTTATCTGTTTATTTCTACAGCTCACAGAGTGATACGAAAGGGAGAAAGTCACTAGTAATCGACAGACATTCGTTCCTGTTATTCATGCTTGGATTTCTTGCAGAAATCCAGAATGCTTCTAAAGCCTTTCTCGCCGAGATTTCCGTTTCATAGGTTAGGATTCTGCACATTACATCGTAGTCATCGCCGCCATGCTTTTCGTGTCTATGTCTACCAAGCGCAGATGTCAAGCTCCCCGTCTTTTGCTAGCTAGATGTTCTTTCATACGTACGCTAAGCGTTCGACCTGTTTCTCCAATATACAAGGCTCCACAGCTCAAACAAGTTATCTGATAAACTACCCCCGTCTTGCGACAGTCTTCCAGTTTGCCGTGAGGGCAAACAATGCAGCCGGTAGACATGCATTGCTTGTCGTAGAGTCTATTTTGAGTCAACTGTCTTTTGATGCTATCATTCGGTATATTCACCAAGGTAACATCATTTTCCAGTTGAGCTCGAGCAAGACACCGTCGTAGGTCGGCTGTCATTACATCGCAGATGAAGGGAAGACAGAGGGTAAGTTTGTTTCCCTGTGAACTGCGCTGGGTTCCAACAAGCCGTGTTCGCCAGCGATTGGCTGTTGTGTACCCATTGCTTCTAGCGATATCGGAAGCCATCAGAAGGGATTCTGCGCGCTCGGCTTCACCGCTGCAAACTTCGCGAGCAGTTTTGAACATATTGCGAATGACTGCACGTTTGACTGATGTTGGATGCGCAGATTTGGCGTGTAACAATATGTTCTTTGAAGTTGCCTTGCGATACCATTTCACTTTAACCATGCCACTGGACAGCTTTACCTGAGTGTTCAGAAAGGCCAAACAACCGTCATCAGGGGTTTCCCTTGTAAAGTGGATATGTTCTGACTGTCGATTGAGAATGTTAAAGCACTCGTCCATTTCGGACTGTGTTGAGGTAACAATACAACAGTCGTCTATATATCTACAATACAGCAACGGTAGCCGTCCTATCACCGGTTCTTCCACTTTGCACATGAAACAAACGGCTAGAGCAGGAGCTAGCCTCTGGCCCATGGCAAGTCCGCGTATTTGAGCGAAATACTTTCCTGACCACTTGAATATATTGCAATTTAAGCATTCCTTGATCAAAGCGATAGTACGTCTGATACTTAGCCCATACATTTCAATGCTACTAACATGACTTTCGAGCATTTCCAATACCGCTTGTAGAGCTTCATTGTTCTGAACGTTAGTGTACAGGGAAACCACGTCAAATGATTCCATGACACTGTTTGAATCAAAATTGGACGCACGTATCAGCTCAAGGAACTGATTTGTATTTTTCAAGTGGGACGGAATCTTCGGCAAAAGTTGGCTTATGATTTTTGCTAGAAACCACGAAACTCGGTCAGTGGGGCCACCTATGCAACTTATGATTGGTCTGATTCTAAAGCTGTCCGGTGACATAGCCTGCATGGCATCTGGAGAGATCTTGTGTGTCTTGACAAGGCCATATAACATATGTACATAATAAAGAAATTCGGCCACTCATTCTCACCGGAGCCCACATAATAAATATTATACTGCAACAAGTTTCGTATAATAGAATATTGTATGTTACAGCTACTGAATATCAAATAGCTCGTTTAAATCACCTTAGTACTGAATTCTGGAAGGATGGTTCGGAATATCTCTGTTGTAGAACCTCTGAAAGGTGGAGCCGTTCGAGGGCCAACACGCTGCGCCCATATTAGTGGACAGTGAGCCTCCGACGCGCGAAGCTCTGGAGGTGCTCGCTGATCGAGTGGAGTGAGCTCGAAAGCTTGTATCTACCCCAGCCCCAATCAAAAGCGATTTGATCCACCGCGCTACTGTGGAACTTCCTATGGCTCTGTGTGGTGGCGCATAGGTTAATAATAATGCGTCTTCTCCTTCTCGCAGAGTCTCGGTTCTAGCGAGGTAGTCTTTCAATGTCCTTTGTGGACGGAGAATCGGATCATCGGGAAACTTCTCATAAATAGGTTGTTGTTGAGGGGGACCACTCCTTCTTGTCTTGCTGCGGAACTCTAAATGGAATATCCAGCGCTCCCTTCTCTTCTGAAGAGAGGACAGTTTCAGGGCAGCTATCTCAGACACCATTCTCGGAGAGCACGGGGCCAGCAGGATGGTTAATTTGTGAGAAAGCGTTCTCAGCGGCAACTTCTGGTCATCTCCAAGTTGACGTACGTGTTCTAGGAGCGTGTCTACGTCCCAGGTTGTAGCATATCGTGCTTTGGGAGGGTCCTTGCGAAAAATGATTTTCATAGTTCTAGCTATGAGAGAATTCTCCGCCCAATTTGTGCATGAGGTCGGATACGGTGGGGGTGGCGGCCTTGTAAGACGCTATTGTTGCAAAACTAAGGCCATTTTTTGCAAGATGTGAGAGGAAGGTGCATAATGTCACGTGTGAAGCTTGTCTGTGAGAAGTCCCAAGTGACATCAGGTATACACCCCAGCGCCTTAGAGCAGATGCGTACTGTCGCCTAGTACTGCTAGACCAGCCGGCCAATAGCGTGGTGACTCCCTCTGAATTAAGCCCGAGCCTCTGCAATGTCTGGGCTAGAATTCCCATGCTACAAGACAAAAATTCTTCTGTTGTAGGAGCGGGTGTGGCTTCCCATCTACATCGACCAGAATGGGCCCTCGACACTGCAGGCGTACCGGGGGACTGTGGGGATGCCTGACAGCGACTGGAAACCAACTCTATGATTCCCATAGAAGATTTATCAGTATCACTCTGGCGCCGTCGTGGATTGTCTTCCGAATAGCTCGTCCTATCAAGTTAAACGGTGGAAAGGCTTAGCCGAAGATTCCGGACTAGCTCTGAGCGAAACAGTCGATCCTTGCTGCGCCTGGATGAAAATTCAAAGAATACTAACGAGGGAGTTTATTATTGAGGCAAGATGCGAACAAGTCAACCTCAGGCTTACCAAAGTGAGCGAAAATGCAGCTGATTGTGCTACTATCCAGGCTCACTCTGCACACTCCCTAGAGAGAACCCTGGACTCCCTATCAACCTCCACATTGCGAACACCGGGTTTGTGCGTGGCGAGGAGATGTATCTCCTTCCGTAGTGCCCATTCCCAAATGGTTCTGGGCAACATCGACATAGCGTTCTTTCTGGTCCCGCCGCGCTTCTTAATGTAGGCGATGGCAGAAGTTTTATCGGATTTGATAAGTGCGTCAATTCCTTGCCACTTTCTCCCGAATGATTCTAAGCCGAAAAATATGGCTCTTAATTCAAGCATGTTAATGTGTTCACTGCTTCGGCGTTACTCCATCTGTCTCCGGTCCGTAACCCACAACATACCGCTCCCCATTCAGCCGTTGGGGCGTCACATGTTGAGGTGATGTCCGGGGATGGTCTGATGAACGGAGTACCGCTATAGCAAGCAAGGGAATCTCTGAACCAGATTGGGTCCATCCTAGCGTTGTTTGACAATACGACCAGCTTCTCAAAGGAACTGTTATCATCAGGGTCTGTCACCCTGGCGAGCTCGCGCTGTAGAGACCGAGTGAAGTGTGTGGAGAACGGGGAAGCTAGCGACACAAAGTTGACCCGTCCCAAGAAAGACAATAATCCTCTCGCTGTTATTGCTGCGGAATGCAATAATGATTCCGCGTTTTCCTTGATCTTGCTGCTCTCAATCTCCGGAATCCTTAGGGTGCCCAGCCTTGTGTGTAGAATTAGGCCGAGAAACTCTAACTCCTCGGGATCGCCCCGGTTCTTTCAGCTGGGGTCTACTTCTAAAACAAAAAGAAAAAACCTTTTTTTCTCTCCGTCACTTTGAATAGATCGTGAGAACTCCGATGAGTATCGGAGGCAGAGCTATTTGATATTTAGCAGCTGTAAAATATAATAGAATATTATACGGACCATGAAAACCAGAAACAACTTCTTTTCTAGAGATGTCCAACCAGTTTGAAACACTGTTTCCATAGCTCAGGAGGGACTGCACTCGCCTGTCAGTTCCATGGTCACGAGCTCGAGCCAACAGCATTGCCCCGTTTTTTCATTTCTGAATGTTTAGCGAGAAAAAAAGCTTAGGCAAGTGCTGGACGCAGCCAGCGACAAAACATGTCCGGATAGCTCAATCGGTTGAGTGCCCGTCAATCATTCGGGTGGTCACTGGTTCGAGTCCATTCATAAAATAACGTCGAGCGAACGGATCGTTTGGACTAACACCACCCACAAACACCGACGCACAAGTTTTATCCTCAAACTTGGGTAGTTAAACCGAAATATTTCAATGTTGAAAGCAAGATACAGCGCAACAACATAACGTGAACTTAAACTACCTTACTAAAACGGTACTAAGGTCCAACGAAGTAGAAGTTCAAGCAAAGATGAAACTAGTGCATATAAACCTTTACACCGAGTACGGAGATAACATGCGCATAGAAAAGACGGCTGCACAGAAAAGGGACGATTCATGAGTAGATTCTTTACTGCTACAGAGAAGCTTCGCCGTTTTATACGGTCTCAAGAATGTTTGGAATCGCGCACATTTCCAACCTTATCAGGCAAAGACAGATAACAGCGCACATTTCTTAAGTTGATCAAAGGACGAGCAAAGATATAGCCGTGCACATAATACAATCACAAGAGAAGGCAATACAGTATCACATCTGGATCATGAAAATCGCATGAATCCGCGATACTCCCGCCGGCATCAGTGGTCGTGATTTTGTCGAAGTTGGTCCTCCGGCGACTTGATCCTTCCTTCGTACCATTGGTAGCTCCTCCTGGCGTAAGCCAATCTCTCGAAGATGTCTTGGCTCCTTTCTGGAAGATCGCAAATGGCCGAGTGATGGCCGTAGCGGCGGCAGTGATAACATGAAGTTGCCCACTTCTTGCATTGTCCATCTCCGGCGCAGGAGACCTCAAGGCAAAGCTCGCAATTCCTTTTCTCTTGAACCAACTGCTTCCGCACAGCCGTGTCCGTGACTGTCGGGCATGAATCAGAATAGTGAATTCCTACGGCTGGGCAAGAGGCGCATCGCATGAAGCACCGTCTCGATGAATAGTTCCATGATGTATCCGGGTAGCGGCACATGTGGGATGATTCTCGAGGTCGAGGATGATGCTGTGCAGATCGCGAAGTGCTTTCCATGCCCGTGCAAGTTTCAGCTCTAGCTGATGACGTCCGCGGATCTCTTCGTCAACTTCGTCATCTCCAGCGTCATCATGTTCGTCCGCAATCTCAACACCTTCCATGAATCCGGAGTTTTCTTCGATTGTCTCGAACTCTCTCTCTCTCTCTCTCTGCTCGTTGAGGTCATCCGTTTGTTGACACGGGTCGTCTGCGTCGTCTGCGCATTCGCTGTTCCCCTTTGCTCGACGAGGCCTACCGTGTCGTCTACGTCCTCTTGAGGCTGTTCACTTGCTTCGTCGAGGTCTAGCGTATCGTCTGCATCCTCTTGAGGCCGCGCACTCGCTTCAGCAAGCTGTACCGTGTCGTCTGCTGTTCCCTGCTGCTCGTCGGGGTCCCTCCCCTGTTGTCCGATGTCGTCTGCGACTTCTTGCTGTTGCGCACTCATTATGTCTTGATGCTCGTTGAGGTCTTCCGAGCGTTCGCGCTTGTCGACTGCGTCGTTTTGAGGGTTCATAATCTGAAAAAAATAAGGAGACGCGGTATGAAGTTGAAAAGATGTTCTTCAGACCAAGACCATTTTTGCGTGCGCAATAACTAAAGTGTATTTGTGTACAGTGCATTGTCTCCAAAGAGCGCGTGTGAGAAATATAAGTGTGCGCATCGGAAAGCACAGTAGAGCGAACAAGTAGGTGAACTCCCATTGTTTGCAAACAAATGTAGCAAAGGAAAACGGCCAGCGCAACGCCCAGAAAGGTAATGATCAATGTCTTATACCAAGAGAAAACACCTCTATAACGTGTGAAATATCAGGCCATTGTGTAGCGAGGTATATAATACCTTACTATTCCCATTGATTGCCGCTATAAGCGGTTTATGGAAGTTGCCGGTATACTTCAAAATCCCTGCCAAAGTGAAGTTGTGGGTGGCCATACTGCAAGATAGCGTGCAGTTTAAAAGTTGTTTGGCAGCTTCTAGATGGAATCGCAACAAAGAGGTCGGCGCATGAGGGGAGCATTGGGATACGAAAGCGTCTTGTCCACAAATCATCTCTCCTAACGTTTTTGTCGTGGAGGTACATTGAGCTTTAGCTTCCGCCTTCTTTGCGCAATAGTAGTAGCCTTCAAGAGTGGTGTTGGGAACAGAACACCCATCGTTGCGAACTTGTAAAATCGCAGTGATGAATCTTTTCCTTGAATTCTGCTGTCATTTCTGCTGACACCACATGCGGGATTTTAGCAATTAAAGACTTAGGATTGCGTTGTGAAAGCTCCCATGAGGCGGTTTTAACGGGAACTTTCAGTAGAAGTTGCTGAAATTCTTTTTCCACATCATTGTTGGCGTATTGACAAACAACCCTGTTTTCGGCAGCAGCGCAACGACAGTCACCCACGAAGGAGCACTTCATTAGAATTGCGTGTTGGGGTGAACTACAGTTCAAATGGGGGTAAATGACGCTCTTTATACGGTGGTGTCGATTCCATTCCTAGTGAAGTGGTCATTTAAGGTTGGTGTCGGAGGTAAAGATAGAGAAGTCGATGTAACCCTTACGGACAGTAGTTCCATAGGGACATTCGGGATGACTGGCAGGACGAATCGTTGGTTTGCTAATGGCGCGTACAATTTCTCCATAGATACCTCCAACTTGACGACTTTTTTCCAGCGCACACACCGTAAAATTTCGTAGTGTCAGAATTTTGTGGTACCGCGTAGATCCTATATAATAGGCAAACGAGCTCAAATGAAAACAATGGCAACCAACTCCGCCGCACGACTCCATACATCCTGTACGATCTGGCGAATGGTTCCATTGCTCTGGCTCTGGAATCAAACTAGAACTATTGATGGCTGCGCATTTAGGCCCAATACAAGATCCCACATGAGGGCAGCGCTTACTGTCTATCGTGTTTAGCTGAACGGATCGCGTAAAAAATAAGGTTTTCGTTCGCATCGAAGAAGTAGCCCTTTCCATCGTACCTTTATATTGGCTACCAGTGTGGAATTCCGAGTTAGGCGCAAGCACGCCTCCTGTTTAAAGGTCTTGATTTTCAGTATTTCTGATAGTTGTACAGAACAAGACTTCTTCCCCTCCGCATATGTGCAAATGGTAGAATGATGCTCCAGCACGTTCACGTGCCGACATCCAGATGTGCCAAATGGCATTGTCAGTAGGTAATCACCGCCAATGAGGCTGCGAGACGTGAACTTCTGGAAGGATGGCGTCGCTGCCGAAGACGGCGCAAAAGGGTGCATGCGAATGAACTAACCTCTGTAGGATGAACATGAGAACGATCGCAACTCCGGACAGTAGGATGCGTATGAATTTACCTATTGTCATTGGCATGTACAGTAGTAGATACAAGAATGTTATTATCCCGTACAGAAGAAGAGCTACAATGAGAATCGCTTCGACTGGCCAGCATTCAAGATTAAACAGTATCGTGGCGCACAGCCAGCAATCGATGTTGGTGCAGAAGTTGATTCCCCGCATGTAGTTTCCATTGTTGCCATCCTTCTGCCTGCGTCCCACTTCACGATGACTACATGGTCGTGAAGGGTGATATCAGAAGGGAATTGAATCAAGAATGGGCTTGATGCTAGGTGGTACACTTTGCGTAAGGTATCTGCGCATATCTCAAAAGTAACGTTTCGAGTGGACGTGATGACGACTCCGGTATTTGTGCAGCTCATTTGTAGAGTGACTGGCGTATTGGCGCATGTCAAAAGGATTTGAGAAAGCCCCATAATATGAAACAAGAACCACGATAGCGACTTTCTTTTTGGGAATTGTGATGAAACGGCAGTGATCTCATGTTCCGCATTTTGGACAAGCTTGCGTGGGCGAAGATTATACCTTTGTTGTTCCTGATTCTTTGGTAGGAGTTCGCGTTTCTCCTTGTTGATTTCGCGCTGCTTAGTTTCCTCTATCTCCAGAGGAATGAGGAGATTTACAAGTCTTCTGGTTCTTCTCCTTGTTGAAGTAATCAGCTCTACATTGCGAATTTAACAATCCAAGCCAGGATGGGTCTCAGTTATCCTTTATAGTTTCGTGCGCATTGTCGCAGGTTATGGACTCTGGTATTCAACGTCGTGCTGTATAGCGGCACAGTACATTGAGGAAATCCTCGGTTGACATACTCTTAACGACTTCCAAGTGAATCAAGCGTGTGACCGCGCATGTAAAAATACAGTACGTTTTGCTTGGCACATCATTAAAATAAAATTGTTAATGTTATGGAAAGGTTTTATGATAAAAGAGTTAAAATTCATATAGGAATGTAGCCTATTTGCCCGTTTCGTTCCCTTACCATATACGGGTAAATGGGTTCAAGAAATAGGTCCTTCCGGGAACTCGTCAGTACGGCGAGGAGGACCTACCTTTGTAAAAGCACGAACTCACCTTGTATTGTCCCTCTTCCTTCTGAATGTGTGTTGTATAACACACAATAAATATTACATATGTGTGTACTCACCGAATTCATAAATGTATATATATATGCAATATAATATAAATAACAAAATTTTTTATATTGTAGTGTGGAGTAGCGACCACACTTTATAAGGATAGCAAAAGAAATGAGTGTTACTAGGTAGCAATGTTTTGTATGTATGAAATAATAACGCTGAACTGATAAATATTAGTAATGATTTTCCTTTCTTTTCTCCTAAAGTATCTGTTTAAAGGGTCGGAGTTTGTGTGTATTCAAGTGAGAAAGAACGTTGAAGATGTTTCATTTCTTTGCATTCGCGAAACAGACGTATGCGTGTGTTTTGACTTCGGTCATTGAACAAAGTTCGAGTATGAGTGGAAGCCAAAGAAATCCAAGCCAATATGTTGGAAAGGACGGCTTCGTTGAACTCGCTGTGAGGGAAGATTGATTGAGTCCAGGTAGCGATACGGTAAGCGTTCAACCGGCGACACAGTATGCGATGGTTTACTATGTGTCGGACGAGTTGGCGCAGATGTGATTATATATCTTTGCTTTCATATAAGACTTTTATGAAGACTTTGTTTGGGATACTGCTTGAAGAAAGGGAAGTCCACGCGAAGAAAGAAGC